CACATCTGATCTAAACTGATTGTAATTGATCCGGGATACTCTCGGACTTTGGAATCACCCTTAATGGAACCATATACATATCCCATCCCCCGCCAAAAAAAACATCCCGCAATCAAGACGGGACGGTCGGGATCAACGCCACTTCACCATTGAATTCAATCATGGCTCCTAGCAACCATAGTTTTGCGGATTGTGGATGTATTTACTGCCAGGGGGAAGGGAAATATGTATTATTATGTTTTATATTTTTTTGGGGACTGGGGAATTTGGGGGTTACTGTCGTCGCCAACGTACAGTTTACAGTGTATTGTACTAAACTACTACTTATCTTTATTCATCATCATCATCATCATCGAATTTATGGAATAAAAATATTCAGCGGATCCAGCCCACCCAGTCTCTTAGGGAATTGGGGAATCCGGAACGCGACACAACATGACTGACACGACACGACACGACACCGACATGTCCGACAATATCATCAGCTTCAATTATCACTGATGAACCGAACATAAATAACATTTCCGAACCCGAGTGTGGGAGTCTAAGCAAATGGGATCGGTGCGAATGTGATACTCAGCTCTGGGTTGTTTGGTGGTGATGGTGAAAATAGTGAACCAATGTTTTCAAGTCCAAGTCAAGTCGTTGTTTCTTTTACTTCAAAGTCATTATACAATGCTGTTGTAATGAAATGAAACATTAAAAACCAGATCAGCACGTCCGCCGTGGAAATGAATGTCGAGGTAATCGTCCATATTCTCAATCTGGGATGCCCTCCGTAAATTTGCCGCCGATCCGTTTCAGCTTCGATGGCATCGAACAGCGTCTGTGTGGGGGCGGTGGACTTCGTCCGCCAAGACTGTCGTCGGCTCTGGCAGACCGCATGAGCTGTTGTCGTAGCTGGTCTCGAACCTGCCGCAAGTGACCCGCACCGTCAACCATTTCCCATCCATCACACAAGGCAGGCCACTGCTGGCCGAGGTGGTGTCACCACACGAAGTGGTATGCGGCATCATCCAAGATCTTGCGCCAGACTGCAGGTCCAACTGCAGTCTCAAAGTCAAGTGATTGGCAATCCAAGGCCAGGCCAGTGCAGTCCAGTTATATAGTTCATTGGTTAGTTAAGACTATCAGTACTATCGGATCCGTCCAATCCAATCATATCGCACTTAACTTAGTACCACTTAGTTACTCCGGCCAAACCTCCGTCCATAAGGCCTGATCCCAGGATTCAAGTGAATCATACACACCTCAGCCACGGATTGACAAAAGATTCTGTTTATGCTGTTTATGTGGGTGGGATGGGGCCGGGGACTAGGTACAGAAGGAACATTACACAGAAAAAGCAACTGTAGTTCCTGGCCAGTGAATGTGGTAGGGAGAACATATTTTTTTTAATATTTTTTTTTAATCACGGCCCCTTTGATTGTCAACAATTGTCGTTATTGTATCCCACCTGTTTTATATATTTATTTAGTTTATTTTGGCATGGTTGGAATACCTGTCAGTCATGGTTGGAATACCTGTCGGTCGGGTTGGGATGCCAAATGTATTCTATTTAATGCTGCTTCTTTGTCAACAGATAATCGATAAATTAAGATAATTGATATTCGATAATCGATGACCGATGGTTTATTTAGTATTTAAGTTAATAAATCAGTCATGATCAATATCAATTCAATTTAAATCAGTCAATAATCAATATTCATTACATAGAAAAATCATTTTAAATCTAAACCAATAAATAATCAAAATCAGAATCAGAATCTGGAAACAGAACAATCAAGCATGACTCATTCATTTCATGTCATTTTTGGAATTTCATTTCATTCATCTAAAAAAACCAATGGTTAAAATCTTTGTAAGTGTATTTGAATCTGAGTCTGGATCTTTATCTGAATTTAAAACCCAGGTCCAGGTCCCAAATCTTTTGGTGGTTTATAGATTGGTCACCCTCCAGTGAGCAAAACAATGAGCATGATTATTCAAGTATTCAAGAATGATACACTGATAAACCGTCGTTTTCACCGTTTATTATCATTTAATTAGCTGTCACCAATCTACTGACAAAATCCTACCTGACCACATCCCAGTTTTCATTTCGGTGTCTTATATAGATTGGTCATCCTTACGTGATTTATGCTTTTGGTGATGGGGTCCCCTTACAGCATGTTCCATACCCAAGTGCTGTTGTACACTATGTTTATGACTATGATAATGCAAGGAGAACTAGATTTCTCCACATGGGCCTAGCGGGCCACAGGTTCTGATTCTGATTCTACCTGGGTAGATCTTGATCAATCAATGATATATAATATATAATCAAATTAATATGTATATAAATATATAGCTATATTTATTCATAACATACATTAAAGTATATCTCATAATAAAAATGATACTATAGAGAAAACACTATTTATATTATTTTAGATGATATTATATTATATTATATTATATGATATTATATTATATAATATTACATTATATAATATTATATTATATTACATTCATGTATATATATATATATATATACATAGGTGATCATAGGTGTGTATATGTATATATGACATTGAATATATACACATTACAATAGTCGATAAAATTCAACCATAAAGGACTGTATGCAAGTCTTATTTCCCCACCTGCCAGGTGAGGGTTGTTAGATTTTATCAGAGCTGTTCTCTTCCTCCTCGACTAGCTCTCCTCCTCCTTCTCCTCCTCCTTCTCCTCCTCCTCCAGTTTCTCCTCAACCATGTCTGCATCAACTTCCACCTTTACTTCCGCCTTGCCAACTCTTCGCCAAGCTCTTCGCCAACTTCCGAGCTCAGTGCGCACTGCTGGACCTCAACCTGGGACCTTCCCAGCTCAGTGCGCACTGCTGGACCTCAACCTGGGACCTTCCCAGATCAGTGTGCACTGCTGGACCTCAACCTGGGACCTTCCCAGCTCAGTGTGCACCGCTGGACCTCAACCTGGGACCTGCCCAGCTCAGTGTGCACCGCTGGACCTCAACGGCCAGATAGAATGCCAGAAGATATGCCAGATAGAATGTTAGAAGATATGTCAGATAGAATGCCAGAAGAAATGCCAGATAGAATGCCAGAAGGTATGCCAGATAAAGTGCCAGAATGTTTGCCAGATAGAATTCCAGAAGATATGCCAGATAGTGCCAGAAGATATGCCAGAACATATTGCAGAAGATATGCCAGATAGAATGTCAAAAGATATGCAAGAAGATATGCCAGATAGAATGTCAGAAGATATGCCAGATAGAATGCCAGAAGATATGCTAGATAAAATGCAAGAAGATATGTCAGATAGAATGCCAGAAGATTTGCCAGTAACAAAACGTTAAAATGTCATGGTGGGGATAACTCGAATAAAGTAATTGTATCCATGTCCTCGAAGTTCATCTCAGCTGTCAAGCTTCGCCGTAGCTTCATAGGGAAGCATGTGCAGGAGGCACACCAACGCGATGTCGTCATTTTGCACTTCAGATCATCTCACGGTGGCGCTCGTGGGCTCCATCAAGTGCTTTGCTGGCCATGCCAGCGGGGCGGAAGTTTCGATTCGCGATCAAACATGTCCGCGAGCACCGCGATGAGGTGGAGCATGACGAAGTCGTAGTCGACTTTCTCCGTTCCCGACTCTGCCTCCAAGTCCAATGCTCGCTGCCGTTGCGTTTCTCTCAGACTAAGGTTCTGAGATTCTGAGATTCCGATCCCCGATGATTTATCTATCCCCAAATGATTTATCTATCCCCAATGACTTATCTTTCCCAAATTTAAATTTCGAACCCCGTTTTTTCTGGCCGGGCTTCAGTCTGCATTGGGGTCTGAAAGCACGCCACACCAGCGAGCAGCTTGCAAGCGAGGCAGCGGCCGCCATTCGGCCGGAAAGACTGTCAATCAACTGTCCATTGGCTATATTATTCTATATCTATATGCCGTAGTGTTTCGTGATACCATTTAGCCATTTACTATTATCACAGGTACCTATATATAACTAAAGTTTGGCCTGAAGTTTGGTTTCAGTTTTAATTATATTGTATATGAGTAAACTGACTCAATTAGCTATTTACCCAGTGATGTTCAAATGTTTGGTCAACAAATTAGATAGTAGTTATCAGTTATCTCATGTCACCCCATCAATATAGTACTAAGTTCCATCCTCTTAAAATGATGTGTTATCAGGGTAGTTATCCATACTTATTCAGCCTTCAGCCTTCAAATATATAATTATATATATATATGTTAATCCATTTATTACAACCCTGGTCTTGACCTGGTCGATCCTCGACACCACGGCCGCGCGAGTAAGGCAGGCAGCAGGGGTTTGTATATATAAGGGGTATGTAAGGGGTTATGTATACATAAGGGTTATATAAGGATGCATTGTATATTAGTATGTATGGGATAGTACCTCCAATTGGGTTAGTTTGGATGACCAACTATTTGAATGAAAATTTGGAAGAAGCGTTTTTCCATAAAAATACAGATCCTATACCCAACAAGCGTTTTATACTTTGCTCCCTAATGAATGACAAAACGCTTCTTCCAAACCGAATCTACATTACCCTCTGAAACACAGCCCGCAAGCAACTTAACATCTATCTATCTATCTATCTGTCTGTCCGTCTATCTATCTATCTATCTATTTATCTAATCTAATCTAATCTAATCTAATCTAATCTATCTATCTAATCTAATCTAATCTAATCTAATCTAATCTAATCCTATCTATCTATCTATCTAATCTAATCTAATCTAATCTAATCCTATCTATCTACTATCTGATCTAATCTAATCTAATCTAATCTAATCTAATCTATCTATATGTACGTACGTACGTAGGTAGGCAGGTAGGTAGGTAGGTAGGTATGTATATGTATGTGTGTGTTCATATGTTTTTGTGTGTTACATGGTTCGCGGCGATGGTTCATGAATCCCGTCCATGTCGTCATGATCGTCGCGAGCGGCATGGCTTCGCCGAGCATCAGTCGATGGCGTCCAGCTCTTCTCGATGCAGGCGGTAGACATCTCGGATCCTGAGGTGCGCCGGAAACGAGGCCGGGATTGAGACTTTTCGGCCAAGACAAGGGGTGATTTCTGGGACATAAGAACTACATAAAACCTACAATACACACATGTATCATGTATATATACAGAAAAATATATATATATATATGTATATACACATCAAAAATTAAATCATACCCACTTGTTTCCAAGAACTTCCAATGAACTTCTTGGCTGTTTAATTGTGCATACTTTATATTTGATGTACTGTACATATATATATAGATATACATTTCATGGATGGATACATGGACACATGGACGGATGATCCGTGAGGGATGGCTGGATGCATGGATGGATGGAAGCTGCACACTGCGGCCTGAATTTGATACCATCGATGGATCAATAATGGTTAAACATACATGCCTATATGCTTGATATGCATCGCATCTATAGTCATCCTGGAGCAAATAGAATATTCTGGGAGGGTTCTATAGTCATGGGGGATCCTCAATAGCTAGTTAGTTCCATTCAAAACATGAAGAATTTAGCGGTACCCCATGACTTAGGACAATCCACATATCTGTGTCATTTTCAAGCATAAACATATCTACCCCAGGATGGTTTATAACCCCCATGAACTACAGATATATATTGTATGCATATTCCCTATAATACCATAGTTCACCAAATTATCAATTACAGACCAACTCATATAGTTATCATAAACCAACTAATTATCATAAATCAGCTATAAACCAACTTAGCTATCATAAATCAGCTAAAAAATCACATGAAATCACCATATCGGGGTGGCCAAGGCGCCCTGAGAGCCAGCTCTCCAAAGGCAGGGCGTGATCCTTCACAGAGCAGGCCGCCTTCACACCACCACCTGGCAGGAAGTGACTGGAACAGCCTGGAACTTGCTGATTTCATGGGATGTTCATAGGATTGTCATGGGCATGTGGGATTTTGATGGGATTTCATGGGTTTTGATCAGATGCAAATGGATGTGCAGCAATAGGATTTTGATGGGATTCTTATGGGATTCATAGTGCCCCCATAGCTGCCTGAGTTGGTTTAGTTCACTAACCTTTCATTAGGCTTAGGCTAGATATATCGCACTAGTCAATGGGGCAAGACTGGGTTGCTATATTCTCTCTCTCTCTCTCTATCTAATCTCTATCTTTATCTCCTTCTCAAGGAATTCAGCAGGCCTAAAGGTTGCTATTCCACTATATTGTTGGCCGATGTTGGCCGTATTATTGGCAATTATGGAGAATGATAGTGGTAATAATAATTGGTAATAATAATTTCAGAGGTAGACATAGTTTGTTATTGTTGTATCTCTCTCTCCCCATCGTTCCTGCTTTTTGGGACCACCTGGTGGTGTTCTTTTTGGGGCTTGGCTACGCACACACTGCTGATCCCCACACACCACATACGTGCGAAAACATCTCGTCTTCCTTAGGGATCTGCGAAAACATTGCGGTTGTGATTGCAAGGGCTGGTGGTTGACCTGTAGGAAGAAACTGCGTGCTATATCCACCCATCAAACATTCACCCCAGTCAAAAATCCATGGTCACCTGCTGTTTAGTATGGAAAAACTGGTTATGCAACGCTATGGCTTATTGCCTAGTTATCATCTATGCTTAATCATCGGCTTCTCACCCATAGCCTTGTGGTATGGCATCCCCACATACCCTTCGTTAATCAAACATGGCAATGGAAAACGCCCCATATCATTTACAGATGATTTCCCAGCTTTGAACCTCCATTTATAAGGGGTTCTCAATTGCCAGATTTGATGACACCAGAGGGTATACATATCCATCATATCCATCATCCAAGACCAGTTGACATCCCCAATTCTTCATAGACCAGATCCCAGATCCAATAATCCAACCGACTGAACCCAGTCGAGCAGCAATCATAGTGGCCACAGACCTCATGGGGCTGATGGTCTGTGGCTGCTGGCTGATGGTTGAGCCCCAAGAAAATGAGGCTGTCTTCACATCATACATACATATCATGTAATGTAATTCTCCAGGTTCAAAATCGACCAACAAATCCTGGTACAAATGCTGGAGCAATGAAAAAGAAGGCAAAAAGGGTGAACAAAGCTAACACACAGCAAACTGAGGCTGTTGTCGATTAGATGAGTCCAAGGACGAATTTCTAAGAAAACCCCAGTTTTACGTCAAGCGAAAAAACTGGTTTCCTGCCGATGTTCCCCTTACCATTGTCCCAACGACGTTGGTTCTCAGATGTTCTCAGCATGCGGGACAGCCCGGACAGCCACCACAAAAAGGGGGTTATCCTCCTCTGGGACGGACTGTGATTTCTGAAACGAAATCTCCTTGTTTGATGTATCCAGTATCCACTAGGGCAATAACTAACATAACCATGGTATAGATGGCACATAGAAATAGATGGTTTACCTAGCTATAAAATGGTGGATCTTTTCATGGCAAACTGTTAAATAACCAGATGGTATATCCCACTAATATTCCCATGATTTTCCCATATAAAACCATATAAAACCTCCATTTCTGGTGGATAAACAACATACTTCCACCCAAAATGAATAAATCCCAGTGGGGATTTTTTGGCGGTGACTTCATGGAATCTCAAGGACTGCCATTTTGGCCCATGTTTCGAAGGGACGTGGAAGGGCCAACAGAAAGCAACAAATTCAGTGTGGAAAGTGTCGCAAATGTATGCATATATAAACATGTGTGTGTACATATATATATATATAGTGTTTTATTTATTTATTTATTTGTTTATTTATTTATTTCATATACGCATGGTGTTGAATAATTCAATAATACAAACATATCTAATTAGATATATATGTACATTTCCTGATGTATATATATATATATTTATATATATATATATATGTATGTGTGTGTACATATCTCCTGTGTCTGTATGCATGCGTGTATGTCCGCACATGCATCTTGAGGGTGACGCTGTTTGGATCTTGGCCCCGAAAGCCATGATCCCTGAAGCCATGCTTACTTGTTGCTATGTGGCATTGAGCAGCCATGACAGAAGATATATGTGGCAAACCCAAATAAAAACATGTAATAAACCCAAAATTTCGGGGTATGACCACTGATTTTCAAATGGCACCAAATTGGTAACATGGGGACAATAAGGATGTGGTTGATTAAGTTAGATTCATATGTACACCACCTTACCATTTGTTTCCCCTCCACGCCAGCTGGCGATGATGTGTCGAACTTGAAGCACATCTACAGCATATTGCAGTACAGATCGGAGGTTCGTATCAGTGGCCACGACCATGTTGGCGATGTTACCTGCAGCGGAACTCAACCACAGGAGGAACTCAACCAAACCACGCGGTATTTTTTTTTGTGGAGATGCAGTTGGCGCTTCATGTTTTGACACGTGTATATATATATATAGTATATATATATAAACATGTGTGTGCTATATACATGTTCCTATAATTGATGTCATGTTTGTCTTTTTTGGGATTGCATTCTTTCAGACATGCGCACCATATGAACAAATGATTTCACTCCCAAGGTGTAGGATTAGACGACTGGCTGTTAAGGCCCACCTCATTCCATGTCATTTTATGTTTCTACAATTACAGTGTATGATCATCAAAGAGATGCCAGAACTATAAATATGTATGTAAATATTGCAATAATAAACTCGTATATGTAATCATACTCATTATATACTGTATATATGTATATATATATATAATGATATATACATCATATTATGTAGGAGAAACGCCAGCACGTTTTCGCATGTTTTCTTCGAGAAAAGTTGCGATGGGTGAACAACTCTCCCGGATTCCCGCCGATCAAATTCTCCGCGGCCACGCGGCTGTCGGCGCCTTTTGGTGTTTCAGAAGGGAACCCCAAGGTGGTATGGCTATTGGATGGTTATACTTAAATCATATATAACCCATTAAAAAAACACATGTATAACTAAGGGGAATTGTTAATAATATGGTTGTATATGGTTATTGAATCGTTTTTTGATGTGGATAAAACACTGTCATTTTTACCACCCATGACTGGAAATGGTTGGAATCCCGGCTATTCCCAAATGCTGATTTGGGGGATTGCTTATGGCCTTGTTTTACCCACATTATTTGGTTTTTATTGATAGCGGGTTACCCTCTGGTAAACTAACAAAAAGCTATTGAAAATGGTCCATTTATAGTTGATTTTCCCATTAAAAACGGTGATTTTCCATAGTTATGTTAGTTTACCAGAGGGTATACCACCTAATGCTTTTTTGGTGATTATGATTAGTTTACCCTCCCGCAATTAACCATTGCGTGCTGGAAAATACCGATGTGTATGTAGATTCTTTTCCCATTTGGACCTACAGTCATGCAGATTGCTAGGGGATTTCCAATTGCCATGTTTGATTACCGATTGCCATGTTTGATTACCGGAAGGTAATCCAGCAAAATTATGGAAAAAAGGGTGGGACCTGAACATATCCAATTCAATTTCATGCTCCAACATTATATGATTTTATGTGTTTAGCTAGTATTAGGTTTTTGCCATAATAAGTTTACAGTATTTCTTTTGTGGGAGCTGCAGTGTTAATTGCGGCTATCCTTAGTGTAGGATTGCACCAACATGTGCCAATGGTAGATCCACCCCTCGAGACAAACAACATGCATCATTTTTGTGTATTATATCGATACAAAATGGCAATTATGGTAGAAGGTCAATAATATTCTCTATGAATCTTTAGGTTGTATATGCAGATGTTAGATGCATTTATGTATAGACAATTCATAATATATATATATATATATGGTGCATATATATAAATATATTATGTATATATATATATATATATATGCACCATATATACAATAAATGTAGATAAATAAAGTACAATATAGTCGTGTTGAAACTTGTTACTGGCGGCCCTTGGCGAAGCTGAGGCACATCCAATCCACAAATACTTCGGTGCTTGGCCCTGGCGATGGAACATCCACAACGTCCATCGCTACTAACCAGGAGAAAATCTATGAACACTGGATTGAGAATGAGCTGAACATATCTGAACTAGATATAGATTCTTCTAGATTGTCATATCTGAACATATCTGAACTAGAATAAGATAGTCTTCAAGATCTAGATTCTTCATGATTCTTCTAGACAGATTGACATGTCAGTAGAAAAAGCTGAACATAGCTGAAGATGAGACATGCATAGATATGCTACTGACTACTCACTACAATAAGCTTGGCCATAAGCCCTAAGAAAACTTTATTCGATTGACCTTCAGTTCTGTACGATTCAGGATCCCAAGGTGGTCGATAATGGTTTTCAATAATTCATGTGGTCAAGCCAATTTCATACACCATCCCCAAGTCAGACTGCCAATTTAATGCTGTTCGTACGGCAACCATCCCCAAGTTTGGGACTTGTGAGTTGTTGGCAGCCAGGGTTTCCCAGTGTTTCCCACCCAAAGTAACCCTTGCGCCTGCCCAATACGTTTGAAAAACCTCAGGTCAAACTTGGGTGGCTTGCTTAGCCTGCTTAGCAACAGTAAACAAAAAACAAGTGATCAAGTGATCCAAACAAAATAGCCAACCTTAGGCACCCAACAAAAATGTGTTATATTGTGTTTTAATTATAGTTATAGTATAGTTATAGTTATAGTATGTTATAGTGTGTACATCTCTTATATATATACACAAATCATAACATCTCTCCATTGCCATCCCAGGAAACATTTGCAAAAACATGCCGATTGCCTTCAGACAAAGTCTCTCAGCCATATACATATACACAGAAATTATGTCTTAAGAATGTATATATATATGCTAATGTGATCTAATGTGCATGTACAGTAAGTTTCAAAGTCTCGAAAAAGCAACTTATGTTGCTTGACATCATATCACCCGTTATCAAGCCTGAATCATATCACCCGTCAGCAAATTATGTTGTTCTAAGATACACTTCTGATCTGCATCACATAACTGACATAATCTGCTTGACGGCACAACAGATCACAGCGCCTTTTTTACCCTCCCAACATCTCCGGCGGAGATCTCCGGGTTCCATGACGCTCCCGCGGGCTCTAAACGACATGAAAAGAATTTTTATTGAACATATCATCTGCCAAAAATATTTATAGTTGATTTACCTAGCTATAAGATGGTGAATTTCCAGTTCGCTATGTTAAATAACCAGAGGGTAACTTAAACCATATGATCAATGGGAATTTCAGGATCCTAAAATGGAGGTACTGTACCATATAAGGCCATATTTTGTGGTGATATTCACTTACATAGGCCTTAAAAAAAGGCTTTATATGGTAGGTACCTCCAATTTAGGATCCTGAAATTCCCAATTGATATCATCTGCCATACCTTAGCATATCTCCATTTCCAACACATGGCCGCCATGGCCTCTAGGCCCTGGCTCGCTGGCTCCCCTAGCTCCCCAGGGCCTATCATCCCAATAGTAAAGCACATATGGGGATTGGTTGAAATCCAGCCCTTTTCTGACACATTTGCATTGGGATGTATTGGGTATGATTTGTGTCTTTGGGATTCTTTGGGTTTAAAATCGTAGCTCCCAAAGCAGACATAAATCATATTGCGGATGATTTTCCTTACTACTTGTATGTGCATCCCAGTTAGTACTAGTAAGTGGGTCACAACCATATGAAAGCCCAATTAAATATGGAGTTAAATGTGGAATAGACCCGCAATTATATTATGTCTTCTCCACTTTCTAGAGACCATCCGGAAATCAGACGTGGCAATGTTTTCAACCCCCCATTTAGTTTGATGATTTTCCATGATTTTCCAAGCTATGAACCTCCATTCAGTTCGGGGATTTTCCAGCCACGTTTGATGACACCGTACCGGCTACCCTCTGGTAAACTAACATAACTATGGAAAATCACCTTTTTTAATGGGACAATCAACTATAAATGGCCATGTTCAATAGCTATGTCGCAGCTATGTTGAATTACCAGATGGTAAGTGGGAGGCACCACTGACCGAGACACTCTGGGTCCTGCTTCAGGGTCTCTTTCTGCCAGGCTTTGTTGCGATCGCCCAGCTCTCCAATCTGCACCAACGTGGCGACTGGTTCTGAAAACAGGGGTTGCGACCTGTCTGACATTAAACATCAACCAACAACTGTATGATGTAATGTTATAATCTAAGAAATGTTTGAAGGTGATATTCACAATAAAAAACGACAGTTACATACATTTACCACTGTGAAATGGTGAAGCAAACGTTGCATGTTAGCAATTACACCCATGGAAACAAAATAAAACAAATGAGTCGTTTGGATCATGTTCTAATCCCATCCCCCAATATTGCACATACACATTCTATGGTCCCAATTTTTTGGGGTGCCATGAACGTGGTATTTTCGCTGGGTCAACTTGAGACCGGATTACAGATGTTGGTCGTGTTTAGGATTACAAATGCCATGTGTTTAGCATCCAATCTTCGGGGTACCGAATGAGTTGACTCATAAACAACTTATCTTGCTGGTGTTATATACTGTTACAATATTCACTGCATTTGCTCCGATAAAATGGTTGGGTTTGGCAATGCTTTCAACAAGACCCATTGTATACCATTTATACTCCCGCTAAATTCTCATTTTGTGTTCAGCATTCTGAACCCTACCCAACCAATGGGTTTCTATCATTATCCATATCCATACCGTACCATCATTCCCCAATATGATTACATCATCATCATCATTATTATACCATGTTTCTTATCACCATAAATATTGAACCATACACAACCATACCAGCCTTATCTTTTTTGTGGAACCACATTAGACCATTCAACAATTCATGTACCGTGATTCTCCCCAATAAAAATTGGTTAGTATCTGGTTGGTGGTTTTAACCATCTTGAAAAATATTAGTCAATGGGAAGGATTGTTCCATATATTATGGAAAATAAAAATGTTTGAAACCACCAACCAGGTATAGTCCTCATTAATCCCCCGTTATTCCATTTTACTGGTTGGTTCATGAGGATTTCCAGGTGATAGATCTGGCTAAGGGATCATTCCCCTTCCAATTCCCATCATGGTCGCGAGGAGAGGTCCCTTTCATTTGGATGATGATTTAACCGTCTAATTATGTACATTATCATCCATATAGTATATTACCGCTTGTATTAAATGGTTAACCCACTAATTTGACCCACTAAGATTAGGATGATAACCCAAATTTGGGAAATAAAATCCCTTACCATCACCAAGCAACAGGGTTTTTGAACACTACTGCGCCTCAGCGTCCGCTTGCTTCGCAGCGTTGGTGCGCTCCATGGTGTCGTTGAATTCCCACAGCGCCTCAATTTGAAAAAGCCGGGCTGCGGCGAAGCCATACCGGATGGTCAACTGGTTGGTTGGTCGTGGCTAATAGCTGCCAATAGTGGTGTCAGATGTCTGACTTGAATAAGAAGATTGAATGGGTTCGGCCCAACAAATCACAGTTTATCAGTGGATTTCTTCATGGTCAATGGTGGAAACATGATGGAATGATGCTATATAACATGATGCATGATGGCAACTGGTGTGGGAAACTGTTGGTTGATTGTGGTGTGGTGTGTTTTGTTTCAATGATACTCAATCATTTACTGAGGGGGTCGGTGGATATTTTGGCATATACATATATATATATATACACACACACAACTCTTACTGTGCACATGTCCTTCCCCAAACCTAGGATGTACATCCGGAGTTGTCCTCTTCATTTTAGGTCTGCACCAAAAGGCGGTGTTCCCAAACACGGATCCACACAATGGAAAAGTATACACAAACAAAGCAAGATATGATGATATGATGATATGACGAAAAGTGGGAAGATTCACAAAGAAGAAGTGTAGTTTTATGTGGTTAAAACAATACTAAACCACCCATTTGGGAATGGTTGGAATCCCACCTATCGAATCATGGTGAAATTGGAAATGGTTTATTATTGTTTTACCCACCTTATGCTCTTCCGAAATGGTTGGAATAATGGATCTTATGCTCTTCCGAGGGCGCCAAGAGCCAAGGGTAACCTGGGTAACCAACGGCCCTGGCCCTGAATCGCCTCCGGCTCCACCCAGGAGTTCAAATACTGCGGGATCTTCATCTCTTTAATCTCTTTTGAATCACCTCAAATGACGAAAAAACAAGCGACACAAGCAAAGGCATGATGATGATGATGATGATGATGGGGATGATGATGATGATGATAATGGTGATGGTGGTTATGGTTGTGATGATGAGGATGAGGATGATGATGATGGTGATGGTGATGGTGATGGTCATGCTGCTGCTGATAATGATTATGGTGGTGTTGTTGGTGATGATGATGATGTTGATGATAATGGTGATGGTGGTTATGGTTGTGATGGTGATGATGATGATGATGATGACGACGATGATGATGACGATGATGATGATGATGATGGAGAATGTGAAAACAAGATCCAGCAAGTTATCTTTCTCAAATCCCTCAAACATGTCTTGCAACATGAAGCCGCAACGACAAATCACCTACCATGCCCGCGTCAGAAACACATCGGCATGGCTCATCTTGGATACCCTGTAAACATGTTGTTGCTTGGACGGCATTCCATTCATTAATAGCTAAGCGCTAAGCCATGAATCACTAAATGTTGGTAATTAATGTTAAACGCACCGGGAAAAATACATGTCTGGAGAAAACAATGGGTTTTAAACTGGCATTGAACGAACAACAACAAAAGGAACTAAGACCAATACAGCACGAAATAAGGAATCTATCGATGGCAAGTTCCATGCCCCACCATCCATCAGCAAAGCATCCACTGAAAGCCCTGAGGCTTCTTCCGAAACGGCACACAGAGGGACCTGCACAACGAGCGGATCAGGTTACCCCAGGAGGTTCCAAAACTAGGCCATAATTGGGGCTTATTATAGGTGCACCCCTAGCGCTGGGATGATGCCAAAAAAAAACCCTTGCATGCTTGCTTAATGTTGGTCAATACAAGTAGCCAACCCTGTGGGATTTATGACATGGGTTTACCATGGGTGTACCACATTTAAAACCTCAAACTTCCAGCAGCACCCACCAAGTTGACGAGTCACGCGCTCGCCCCGGCGCCACTAGCCGCCCCAGCATCGGAAAAGCCATGGCGCGCATCGGCAGCAACGATTCGACGCTGCGATACATCGAAGCGGCAGAACTTTCAACAAAGGTGAGTCCAGCGGACAAAAAAAATGTAATGTCCCGGATTCGAACCACGGCTTTGGGGGTATGAGGTTCCAATTTTCACACCTAATTGGTGGTTTCAACCCCCCTGAAAAGTATTTGTCAGATTGGATCATCATCCCAACTATTGGGAACATAAAAAATGTTCCAAACCACCAACCAGCACTTATTTCTCACTGTTTTGGGGTAACCCCACCAATTAATTACTGTAGCAGTGAGGGTTCATAAATCTGGGGTAGACATTAACATGGGAACAGTATCGTTGACCCTGGAGATTGACCAATTCAACTCTAGGCTGTCACGTCTTATTCTCCAAAATATTTGGAAGCATTCAGAATTGCTTTGGGATTATTTGGGTATCTTTCAAATTCTTACATGCACGCTTACATACATATCTATATCTATATCTATATCTATATTTATATTTATATATATTCGTAGCAAGATATAGCAAGGTAATACCATCCCCAGGACAGCCTAAGGCCATCTACTAAATGACTTACATCACTGCCAGCATGAATCGCTCAGTTCAAAGTGCCGCAGCATGCCCCATTGCAGTTGAGATGCCAGGATTCCAGATGCGAAGCTCAACGTTAAGGTAATGGAGGCTGCTGTCAGAAACGGCAGAACGTCCTGCTCCAGAACTTGGAGGCTCCCACGTGGGAATTTCGATCTCCGGTATTGATGACTAAAATGATGCAATGGTGGGGCAAACACCAGTTAACTACCAGGGGTTCCAGTCTCAACTGCCAACTCACACATATACAATGACAAGAATTTGAAAGGAAATTTATAGGACACCCACAAATGTGATCATGAATGATATATGACAATGATGAAAACCAATAGTAATAGAGGTTCTTGGTCAATTCCGTCCCCCACTTCTTCATCATCTATGGCTTCACCAACATCCCTGGTTGCCCAGTCCTGCACAGTAACGAGCTTGGGCCTAGGCATCGCAGGCATAACAGGCATCACGCTGAGCCCCTCAAAGATCCTGGTCTTTGAATATTTGGGTTCAACAAGTCGTCCCTCCCTCTCTCAATGCATGTAAATGAATAAATGAATATATATATATAGATATAGATATAGATATAATGTATATATAAATATATATTCATGATAGTGTTAGACTTAATCATGCTTTGGAAATATGGATTATTTGCAAGTACGTTGAGGTAATTGTGGCATGCTCAAGAAGTCAGTAGTCTCGAACAATTTTAAACAATATAAGAAATGTCCCATAGTTCTTGCATCATACCACTGACAACTGCGACGCGACTGACCACACTTCAACCCGTGCTGTAAAAGGCCTCCAAAAGGCTTCGTCATGTGCCTGTGCAGCAGAAACTCAACGGAAGGAAGCATTAAGTGTCACAGAAATTCGGAAGCCAGCAGGACCATCATTAATCTTCCAAATTTTAATGTTTCTCAACAGAAAAACTGCCAAGTTAAAGGCTGGTCTGCTACTACCCACGATTCCATGCTCCTGTTTTTTTCCTATGCTAGGCTTCAAGACAGCACCTCAACCCATTGAAAGGTGTAGGCCGCATCCCCTTTGGCGTTCCAAAGCCACCTCGAGACTCGTGGGAGTTTTAGGGATCTTTGTTTCTGAAACAAGGCCGGGTTTCAGTAGGAACATGGTGATTTAACCCATAAGAATTAAAGTTTCATGGGATTTATAGCTGATTGATGATAGCTAAGTTGGTTTGTAACTGTTCACTATGTGGTTCATGGTAGTCATATCTATAGCCAATGGGATTTATAAATGATAAGCCAACCTATGTATATATATATATAGTTATAATTTATAATTATATATATAACATCTTATAACTTGGGGGGCTCGCCACCAAACATTGGGGGTGTATCAACCCATTATATTGGGAGATGGATGCAACCCATAGATTTATTAAATGCATGGATGTCAAAAAAAAACAGTACACGGATCCCCGAATAAACACGACAAAACTACGTATGTTCTTTTGGAGGGCGTTTGGAAGCATCTAAATATTCCTCTGCTAGGCCAGAAATGATTTCAGCTCAAAAAAGGTCCACCCAACAGACACCCGCTGCAGGCGTAAATCTGCGAGTTGTCTCACCAAATCAATCCTGTCAGCACCCAGTCCCGGGCCGCGGTATCATTAAATTTTCTCAAATTATCACCTGATACTCAATGTCCAGCTCGGACTCACATTATGTTGTGTTTCACCTTCTTGAATCAGGCAGGGAGATTGTTCTAAAACAGTGATACCCATCACCGCGGAGAGGGGCAAACGGGATCCAGCCTGGTTGAAGTCATATTCATCTTGTTGACATCCACCTTGCAGAGGAAGCACTAGACTTTGCCAACAGAAAAGCAGCACTGAGGGTGCCTCCAGGGACACCGCATCCAACACGGCTTGCGCAAAGCGCATGGAACGCTCCTGAGCCCGGTCAGCAACATGGACAGTAAATTGGGGATAAATAGGCGCGTGAATCAACAAAATATATTGTGTTATAATGTACTATACATGGTTTTATATGGTTTAATAGGGATATAATATATAATAACCGGGATAATAGTATATAATAGTGGCAAAATAATGTGGATATGCGAGCCTCTAGCAATCAAACATGGCAATGAACAAATCCCTTGTTAACCGGAGGTTTTACGGGGAACCAGTGCGATGTTCGATTACCGGAGGGTAGTAGAAATAATTGGATACATGGTGATGGATAATTTTCGGGATGTCCGAGTAAACTTGAGTACAGTAGATGTATTGGTTAAAAATTGCCTTTGTTGGGCGTCTTTAATGGACGGTGCTTCATAGTAATGGCTATAAGGGATGTGATCCGGATGTGATGCGAAATTTTACAGGAATCTAATGGGGACGTAATGAAAATCTAGCAGAATCAACCCAACCACCAAATATAACCTTGAGGCATCAACCAAGGCAAGGAAAAATCACACTTTGCAAACCATTGAACACGTATATTTTTCTTTTAATGACGATCTGTTTGTTATGATTTAAAAATCACTTGAAATTGTTCTGATTTTCGCGTGTCATGTTTGATGGCTCAGGATAGTGGGGATGGATGCTCCCAGTCCTGCTGCGGACTGCATGGGTCCTGGCAGTGGGTTGCATTTGGATCTTCCGGCTACGTGTCCAGCCACCCTGAAATTATAATATATTGCTTTAAATATAAATATAAATATAAAATACTTTTATTAAATATATATCCTCCGCCTTTATTCCAGAACTCTAATTTAACATCTTCATTTTTTTACATATTTCAAAAGCCAATGGAAAAAACAGAAGAAACACATTGAACCAAATAGATCCAAATTTGTCTGAAAATAAAATATTCCAAAATATGTGTGTATATATATATATATTTGACACTTGTTTAATGCCTACACATTGGGGTTAATTTCCACCATTTTCAGACACACCCAAATGGACCCATGTGTAAAATCAACGCTCCCAGCGGGTATAGTATATATCATATCACACTCATATTTCATTAAAAATCCAAGTATATTTCCCTTGTATGGTTGGTAAAAGCAAAAGCACCACGAAATCCTATAAAAATCCCATTATCCCATCATATCATTGGTACATCCCAATTCCCAACTTTTGCGCCTCCGGAAACAACCAATTCATGCCACCCACAGGAGCGACGATGCGCTGGATGTTAGGTTGCCTCAGGCGGAGCCTGGTGGGGCGACTAATTGGGTTTAATTAACCGGAGGAAGTTTAGAAGTCAAACTTCCAACAATATGAACAGATGGAAAAGCAGAGGTTGGAAGAGTCAGAGAGGAGAAGAGCAGATCAGGAAAGAGAAAGAATGAGAAGAAAGAAGATGCAGGTGCGCGAAAAGGTAGGAAAGTTGCTAAACACTATGTTTTTCTAATGATTTTTGGCTCCGGAGGGTCGAAAAGTATGCTCGCTGAAGCGGCGGGTGCGGAGCCATCTGGCCAAATGAGAGATGAAAAGTTGCACGCCTCGTGTGTTTTGTACATGTTGACTTGGAATTGGAAATGCGTTTCTCGCCACAACGGCGTGCACTTTTTCGACAGCTGAACTTCCAAAAGTGCTCCGAACATGAGATTTTTTTAGCATTTTCACTTGCAAATGTGCTTCGTGCCACAATATTCTCGGACCACGTTTGGAAGTTGAGATGTCGAAAAAGTGAACGCTGTTGTGGCACGAAGCACATTTCGAAGTCAAAAGTATTAAAAACTGTTGGGTTCGAGCACTTTTGGACGTTCAGATGTCGTTTTTGCGTGGCAGGCACAAAGGATTCTGCATCGTTGTCAAAAGTGAGCAAAGCGTACGGGTTTCGTGGCAGTTTCAACTACAAACAACATTCCACTACACTTCACTCCGCTACATCTACAACTCCAACTGCAATTACACACATTACACTACACTAAGTACATTACACTACACTACACTAACTACAGCTACAGCTACGACTACAACCACGTTACTTTACACTACGCTACAGTACACTACACTAATTACACTACACTACACTAAAAGTACACTACACTCCACTACACTGCACTACACTCCACTACGTTCCACTACATTACACTACACTCGATTACACTACACTACACTACAACTACAACTACAGCTACAGCTACAATCACACTACATAACACTACACTACACTAGACTACACTACATACACTACCCTACATTACATTGCACTACATTCATTACACCACCACAAATGCAACTGCAACTGCGCTACACTAATTACACTACACCACAACTACAACTCCACTACACTACAAACTACAACTACAGCTGCACTACACCACACTACATCCAGCAGTTGTGGGTGAGGTGACCGACCAGGTGACCACTGCAACCACTGTAACCACTCCAAAAAACACAACTCCAACCACCTTTCAGTCCATCAGTGGATTCGCTCTGCCATCCGCGATTCACAACAACCAACCTCTCCTGTAGGTTTCCTATTTTTGAAACTTC